AGGGTGGACTAATCCGTTGCTTGAAAACATCTCATACTTCTTAAGGAACTTAATCAAAAGTATTCAACAGATATAACTTCTTATCTGATGAATCTTCCTTGTCAGCTTGTTCTTCAATTTTCTGGTTTTATACAGTAGTTAAAAATTGAATAACTATCACCTTAGAGTATTTCTTCACATAGAATCTAGATCTTTATCTGACACTGTTAGGTGTTTGATATCCATTAATAATAAAATCGGGTTATGATACCAATTGAAGGTGTGAAGAAAATGCAAGAAATGGAGGGGGGGTTGAATTGGGTTTTCCTTTCTTGAATAACTTTCGCTTTTAAGCATTATTCATTGAACAATGCTTATGAGTGTTACTTCTAAGTAATGCTTCTAATTAAGTTAAGAAAACATAAACATTAAAGCATAAGAAAAAGTAAAGAACACACGATATATCCTGGTTCACTTGAGAAATTCCTAAGCTAGTCCAGTCCACCCTTCTGAGGTGATTTCGCCTTGAACTCAAGGACTTAATCCACTATAACCAATCTGATTACAATTGCACGGACAAGAGCCATTTACTAACAATTAATGACGTGTTTAGGGATACAGACTGGATATAGTGTTCATTGACCCAATATAATCTGATTCACTAGAATCTCCTACCAAGATTTCCTTCCAATGATATACATCAGTGATCTCACAAAGTTGACCTTCACTCAGTCCCCTTTGAGATATGACTACCATTGACCTAATAGAATCCACTACCAGGATTTCATCTACGATGACCATAACCAAAGTCTTCTTGAGAATCCTCACTCAACTGAGTCTCTCAAGGAATCATCAAACAACTATTTGATTTACATTTGTTTATAATAATAATGCTTCTACACAAGCTAGACGTAAAAAAAGTTAAGTACATCAGAAGAGCCTAATACACACTAAAAGATATTACATTTTATTGTAGCTTCAATGTGTGGTCTTATCTTCTTTGAGTAACTTCTTCACGGACAACAACCCAAAGCACTTGAATCGCTGAAGTCTTCTTCTTCATAAGCTTCTGAAAGCTTTGTTGATCTTGATGTAATAAATAGAAGAACTTCTTCATCTTGATTCACCTTAGAACATTATGGACATCAGCCGTTATTCTACTATCTTCAATGATCACTTTAAAGCACAACATTTATGTTGTCGATTTGTAATTGGAGCTTTCATGATCATCTCCGTTATCTTCTGCTTAGCAAGTTTTGTGCAACATTTGAAATTAAGCACATTGTGAATCAATGATTTCATTGTAATCAGTATCAACATGATTGAAGAATCATTTTGATAATAGTTGTTCTGGTTGTTGTTATAGCGGTTGATAGATTTTTGGTTGTGTTCCAATAATAACACCTTTCATTTTAACATTGAACACCAACAACTTGCGACTTCCAACTTGCAGCTATGAGCAATTGGAAACCAGTAACATGCACCATCAATCTTTAAACATGTGATTCTTTTCTTATATAGCCAAGCAAAATAGAACCGTTGGCTATTTGAAAAAGAGTCGTTATAAATAGTACTGCTACGTCCTTATCTCTTTCACAATTCAAGTTAGTGGAGAGGTAGTGGAATAAAGATTTTTGTACTATGTGCTATTGTACTATGTTATCGTTATATTCTTTCCTTCTTCACTTCAGATACTTCTAACAGCATGAGTTTAGAAGCGGGAAAATAATATAAGGTCTTCAGAACTTCAAGTCTTCAGATTCTTCAGAACTGCGTCTTCAGAGTCTTCAACACTTGATCTTGAGTACCCGTTATAGTGAACCTTGGATCAGAAGAGCTTCAAGTCTTCAGAGTCTTAAGAGCTGCGTCTTTAGAGTCTTCAACACTTGGTCTTGAGAACCCGTTGTAGATAACTTTGGACTTTTAGAACTTCATGTCTTTGGAATCTTCAGACCTTTCGTCTTTAGAATCTTTAGCACTTGGTTCTTTAAGAATCCTTGTCTTTAGAACCTTGTTATTAGAAACACAAAGTCTTCAGCATCTGGACTTCAGTTAGAAACGTTGTCTTTAGATCTTTTAACTTTGTCTTATTTTAAACAAGTTATCTTTTAGAAACTAAGATTTTGGCATTTGGACTTCAGTAAAAACTTTGTCTTCAGATCTTCTAACTTTGTTTCTTTGGAATACGCTATCTTTTAGAAACATGATTCTTCAGCATATGGACTTAAGTGAGAACTTCTGTCTTCAGATCTTTTGACTGTTTCCTTAGAACACGTTGTCTTTAGAAGTTTGAGTCTTCAACATCTGGACGTAAGTAGCAACTTCTATCTTCAGATCTTCTGACTGGTTTCTCTTAGACAAATATTAGAGCTTACACTTTAGAGCCTTCTAGAGTGTCCTGCTACTGTTCAACAGAACTTGTGTAGCGCATAAGCGGAACTAATTCTCTTCTAATATCTTGGTCACGCCATCCATCAGAAGCATAACTTGTTTGTTTATTACTCAACAATAACAAACATTAGTACAACAAAATTGTTCACACAAACATACTCATTTGTTATCATCAAAACTGAGAGATAATGTTGTAGAACCAAATCTTGTTTTTACAGTAATTATTATTCTTAGACCTATGTGGATATTCTATGACCTTTAATTTAAAAACTCATTAGTAAATCACTAACCACATTCTTATACACATGAGTAAGTCTTATGATAAGTTAGATTAGTGGGAGTTTATCAATAGCATTTTAATATGTTTGGGCCATTCTTTAATAACATATTATTTTTAATTTAAATATGTTGCACTAAGTTCATCATTCTATATATAAGTTGTGAGTCTTTAACATCTATGATTTATTTTCCCTATCGGAAACAATTTTTGCATCGGTAAAACTTACTTCTCTTTTAATTGATTAGTGTTTTGACCATTATTGATATTCTAATATTAAAATCAATATTTTTAATAATTAATTATTGTTATCCAAGTGAAAGATTGTTAGATTAATTATTTAATTAATCAAATATGGATTGAAATAATTAATTATTAATTAATTATATTATAGTCAATTATTATTAAACACTAATTATTGATGAATTATTTAATTGGATTTTGTGTCTGGATGGACCATGATGGGTTAGATCATTCAATTAAGTCCAATGAGAGGTCTCTGTCATCAGTCGTTTAATTATTTAAGCGTTGTCCCATTAAACGATTAACCTACTCCGAAAACTTAGACGGCAATGAGAGTAATAATCCTCTCATATTCTCTTTCTTTGACGACAATTTCTATAATCCTAAAAAGTACATCGACAATTTCTAAAATCTTCAAAAATACGTCGTTCATGTTATTCTTGATTATTCTATAATAATATAATATTCTATGTGTTTAATCGATTCAGTTAAATTTATTTCTTCTAGTATACATATATCATTTCTGTAATTTTAGGGGTGCCTTGTTATTCACCAAACAAAGCTATAAAATGTTTGTCATAGTATTTGTATAAGGTGGACCATTTGAAGGCTAGTCTATGGTGGATTAGCACCTGAAAATTACTTTAATCTCAGTATCATTCACACTAGTTAAAAGATTTAGATGATGTTTGAATCTTCTCTTTCCATGCTTCTCTCATTCAATTAAAACAAATGTAAAATAATCAAAACTTCATATAAATTTAAAACGAATTGAACAATAATACTAGATCAGATTGTTGTGTTAGGTCTAATAGTTGGCCCTTAAATAGTTTTAGTGTGTTACATGTAATTTTCCCTTACCTACCAACCGTATAGTTTCAAGTTTCAACCCCAACAGTTTCCGACAGTTTGCTTGGTTAACTGCTGTTGATGACTAATGTATACTAGCCTATGCTCAAATCAAATCATAATTGAATATGGTTTAAAAGAGAAAATGTTTCTAATATGTCAAATTTAACATACATTTATTTTGCTAAAGTGAATATGAAGTGAAGCAAATTTTTAACAAACAATCATTTGGGGTGATTTTTTTATATTTTTATATTTTTAATTTAAAATTAATTTTTATTTTGAGTTTTTAAAATTTTCAAAAGTATTATTATTTTTAAATAAAATTATTTTAAAACATAAATATAAAATAAATATTTATCATAAATATATCTTAATTATAATCAAATCGAATTATACATAATCAGTATCATATCGAAATAACATATAAACTGCACCACAACCTTTTTAGATATTTTTAAAGCATTTAATTTGTAAAGTAATTAATATATTATAAATAATATATATTTTTAATAATCATTTTAATTTAATGGTTAAAACTGGTGATTGTTGTTAGAGTGTCGAAATGGTGATAAATAATAATCATAATGGTAGTTGGCATGGTAAGAGTGGTAGTTAATAGTAGTGATTAATGGTGGTTAAAATAGTGATTTTTGATGGTAAGAACAATAGTCAAATGTAATAGTCAATGATGGTCAAAGTATAGTCGTTTATGATGGTTGAAGTGGTAGACTGATAATTGATAGCAAGATTGATGATTAAAGATAGATGAAATGATGATCAACAATAGTTTGATTAATGATCGATTAATGTTAAACAAGTGTACCTTATGCAAACAAAATATACCTTTTCTACCCAAATCCATTTATCCGGTTTCATTGGTTTGGCTATTTGTTTTATCAACATATTATTTGGTTTCATGTCTCCTCATCTTCTCCACTAACCTGATACATTGAACAAATTAAGAAATCTGCTACACTGTTTACTTCTTACACATACCTACCTTTTACTATTTCCAAATTACTATTTTCAAAATTTTGTATCATTCCAATGTTTAATATATCTGCACACCTTTGTTCCTTTGCCTCCTCTCCTATGCTTTATCAAGTTTTGTTACCCTCAGCAACCACAAATTATCTTTCCTCTCACATATTCATTTGTCAAAGTTTCAAATCCTCTGGTCTTCTTTGTTTGTTTATGAGATTTGAGTGTTTTTGTTCTTCTCCCCTCTACCTTCGTTTTCGTCCATATTTTGTTCGTCATGGCCCGGACCTTCAAGATGATCAAGGACATCAATGACCGTAAAGAACTATGGAAAATCATTGTCAAAGTTCACCACAAATGGAAGGTTTCGTCCACTGCAAATGAGAATTTTGAACTTATAGTTATAGACAAAGAAGTGAGTTTTAATTGTCGATGTTTGTTTCGTGTTCATGTCTTAGGTTTCTTTCATGTTTTTTTCAATTTTTGTTGTTTGTTTATCAGTTACTTCCATGACAAAGATTTTATATGTACTGGTTTTTTGAGTTATGGTGTTTATTGAATATGAAATGTTTAGATCTATATTGATTTATGGTTTTTTTTACAACTATTTTGTATGTTTTATGTTTTAGTTTGAGTAAAGTAAATTTGTACAACCTTTTCCATCAAAAAGTTTAAGTTTTTAGTTGTTTATGTAATTTATGCTTTGCATTTGATATGGTTTGTGGTTTACCTTCTTATTTTATACCTGTTGTACCCCAAAATTTTCCCTCTCTTTTCTCAAGACACTTCTCGTCAAAGATCTCAACATACTCAAGGATTCTCAAAAATTGACCAGACAAGTTCACCTCCTAAGCACCGGGTCCAAATTAGGGTTTTGGTTTCCTCAAAGATAATTGGACTTTTAATGCCTCAAGTGACTTTCATGGTTCATTATAGGTCTCCAAGAATACTTATACCAAGTTTCAAGCCTTGTACCACAAATTTGCTAAGTCAATTGCTCAAATGACTGAAAATCAACTGTATTAGGTAAAAAGTCAACTGTGGTCAACATATAGCCAAACTTCATGATTTTTGGCCAACATCAACATTTTTAAGTCATTTTTATCAATTGATCAAGGGTTGATCACAATTCCTCAATGAAAGCATTCAAATCATCAAAGGGGCAAAATTTTCAAAATTAGGGTTTTGACTGAGAATGACTGATCATTGACTTTTGACCTAGTACATGACCTAATATCTTGGAGCATGATCTCAAGGACTCAAACACAATATCTTGACCTAATTTCATGGCTCAAATCATTTCTCAAGATCAATGGATTGATAGTTGAAATTTGATCAACTGATACATAAAAAGTCAAAGTTTGACTTTTTGATCAACATTGAATTTCAAAGATCAAGAATCATCAAGACATTCAAAAATATCAAACTTGATCATCAAGAATCAAGAGAATCAAGAAATTCAACAAAAAGTCAGAATTTTCAAGACTTAGAAAATTTTTAAGTGTTTTTTAACCTTGATAATTTCACCACTTCATGACAATTTTTCACCAAGAGCAAGATGATTCAAGGAAAACTTTCAACATGAAAGTTGTAGATCTTGATGAATTTTACAACTTTGTCCTTGAGGGTTGATGTCCAAATAATGCTTAGATTTGAAGATATAGGCTTATGAAATTATGACATTTTTGTATAAACACTTACTGAAGTTTTCAACAAGTTTAGGAAGATTTTTGCCCTAACTTCTTGGCCAATTTTCACCTAGTTCCAATTTGATTTTTCCAAAGTGGTTAACATGAAGGTTGTAGAAAATGTTTTAAGTTTTCCAAAATGTCCAAGAACTTGAAGAGGTCATGCTTGAGCTAGAAGTTTCGAAGAGGTGAGATTGGACATCCATTCTTGAATTTTAGGTCATCTTCATGAAGAACACATACCAAATCCCACAACTATGCTGCATAATCTTGCTTTGCAGGCCTCTTGACTTGCAAATCTATCCATAATCATATGTTTACACAACTAATTGAGCTATGATCCAATAGCTTGAGCGATTGTCCAAGTGATCATTCTATTAATGGAACAAAGTTCATACTTCAATTTTGGAAAAGTGACTTTAATCACAAAGTCAACTTGTCTTGAGCATCTAACTTGTTTTTTCTGATTACACTCAACATGTATGCTCAGAAGCAACATGTTTAAATCCTCTAGCCACCCTACAAGCCCTTGTACCATTGCATTGGAGCAATGTTTCTCAAGCTTGCTTCAAAATCAAGTCACATAACCATAACATGTGATCTCTTGATTCTGATTGTTTCAAGCTCCCAAACAACTTGTCTATAAATAGAGAAGTTATATGCAAGCTAAAGCGCGAGTTTACAAGCCTTGACACACCCTCAAATACTCTGAAGTAATAATTTGCACTTTCAAACCTCCATTGTTTCACATTCTTACCATAAACTCAAAACTCCTAATTCCATCGTGCGTTTTCATTTCTAATCAATCACAAAGTTTCCATACTTCATTTAGAACTCATCCCCACCCCTGTTTCATAACTGTAACTCCATCTTCATCATCCTCCAAACTCAAAAACTCAGCTCTGCAACTTGACTTCTCCAAGAAGATTCAGCCACTCTTAGCACAAAGTAAGAGTTGCATTAGCTTCCTAGGAGTCCAGTGAAGCTATCCAGATCATCACCATACTTCCAGGGGTGCTCAAACTCCATACACGATTTCCAATTTTGAGATAAGTCTTCTCAATTTTGAACTCTCTATATAAGCATCATCAATGGTTACTTTGTGAATAAAAAATATAGACATCATAGCCCTGAAGCTAACCATGCCTTTAGTTTTCATTTTTGTTGCCTGAGTGATGTGAATTTTGAAGTTGAACTTTATGGAAAAAAAATAGGTTTTATTTGGTACCAAACAAAATTCGTGTTCATCTTTGATTTATAGCTTTAGTTCTTTATATGGTTGAATTCATGTTGAAAATGAGCAAGTTTCATGTTACACTTTTGAAAATGATTGAAAAATGAGCAAGTTCAGAAATTCAAAAATGCAACAATGGAGGCTGGCACAAGGAAGAAGATGAAGTTGTAATCAGGACTGAGTTTATTTTAAATTTATCATAAATTGTTTTATACACAGATGAAACAACCACCCCAATGGCAGAGGAAGCTCGTGTAAGGCATTTGTTACTAGGGACCAGGGTTCGAGCCCCAGTGGTACCCTTTTATGTTTTTTCATATATTTCTTGCAGATCCAGCGCACCTAGCTTCCTTGAGTCCATCACACGCCCTCATTTCAACACCATCAGATCACTATGTCAACAAATCCAACACATCAGATGCGCTTGTCCACCATGAGCTCTCACAAGCCAACCACATGGGATCCAAACAAGCTGGGCCTCCTGACCTAGGCCTTTTCTTTTTTATTTTTTCTTCTTCATACCCCCATTAGTTTTCAAAACGCAAGCCCATTCATACTTTTTTAAATTTTATTTCCTCTGATTACAAAAAACATATTGGGCCTGTTTGCTACTTTTTTTACCTCCCTTCTACTTTTTAACACCCATCCCATTTGTTTTTATATTTTTATTATTTTTATTTATCTATTTATGTATTTAATCAAAAATACCAAAATATATTTTCTTAAATAATTAAAATTTAAAATATTTTAATGTGAATATTTTATTTTATTAAGTTAAATTTCATTATTTTCTTTTACAAATTAATATTAACATTCAAATTATTTTATAAACAAATTACTTAGACTTAGGTTTTATTTCCTTCTTAAATTTAATTAACTTAGATTTTAGGTTTTATTTAAGATAATCAATTAATTTCTTTTGTAAATAAAATTAATTAGTCTAATTAAGTTAACTATAAAACCTTTTTCTCCATCAAAAAATCACACAAAGACAATTTCTTTTTCCTCTTCATCCTTGCATTTTTGCATATTCTATTATTATTCATATTCAATGGTTTGTAATAGTAATTAGGGCTTTATTGCTTTCCTCCCCCTATTCACAAAATTGTACCCCCATTCCCAAAGTGTTGTAATAGCGTAGGACGTTTAAATTCCGCAATTTATCGCTTTCTTTATTATTGTTAGTAATTAGGGGTTGCATGACAAGACTAAAATCAAGCCTAGAAAAACCCTAATTCAAAGATAAAATACTTGAAATCAAAACACCTTACACACGTGCACCTCTAGGGTAACCCACTCTTGTTGCCTTGGATAAAAACAGTCATGTCCCTCGAACGTGGGGTGTTTTAGTAAAGACTCTCGATTAAAAGATTGTAGTCCCTCGATGACTCTTAAATGTTGTCTTCGGTGAACGATCTTAGTCCCTTATAACAATTACTAAAATATCTTACAAGTTTCCTTCTATGATTGTACGATGACCCACGCCCGTTCCTCACATCCAATGATATGGCTCCCTACCAACCAATGGTAAAGTAGCACTATATAAAGGAGGAGGAAAAGAACAAAGACTTTTTTAGTAGGTAGATTGCTCGTAATTGCTTGCTCACAAACAAAACCATTCACACGTCACACTTTTCAAAAACACTTTTCAAACAAACATTTTGTATACATTCTCAACGATACGAGAATCATTACAAAATTACCTTACATTGGCATTTTCAAACATCTTTCCAAACATTCCCTTTCAACAAATATTTTCAAAAACCAACACTCTGTATACATTCTCAACGATACGAGAATCATTGCAAAGTTTGTCGAAAGAAGGCGTTTTCAAAATATTTTCAAACTTACACAAAACACAAAGCATTTCAAAGTGAGCTAGCAATTAAGAGCCTGTACATAACTACGGATGAAAATGGTGCTAACACCTTCCATTTTCAGAACCTACCCCCTGAACTTAAGAAAATATCTCAAAAGGTCTTTCCTGTTCTTTTCACCCTTTCCTTTATTGGATAAAAGAAAAGTCGGTGGCGACCCTTTCTATCCGCAACATTTGCGATAAAACACAAAACACCAAAGTCTATTCTCCCACCATATTATAATACCTTAATGACGATGATATTGTTTCATTGTGTTCAAAATATTGGGTTCCATCTCCTCATTTCTGGTTTTTTGGATATAGATATACCTATGTTGTGTTCATGGCTTAACATTTTTTATTCATATTCTATATTAATCATAGAAATGTTATTTTTACAGGATCATGATATCCACGTCATTGTTCCAAAAATATTTAGACAAACTTTTGATTCAGCTCTATTTGTAAACATGACTGACACAATTTCAAACTTTTAAGTTCAACCGAATGATTTAATGTTTCGAACATCTAGCCATAAGTTTTTGTTAAAATTCACCGATGTAACAACAATAGGAGATTATAACAAGCATCAATCTTAATAAGGTTATTAACATCACTTTTTTTTTATATCGTTTCAGGAAAATGGAAAAAAAATCTCCTTATAGGTATAATTTTTAATACAAACATGTTATTAGATTCTTTTTTCTCATTTTGTCAATTCTACTCATACTTTTTTATCTACAAATGTGATTGTTATGGTCGACAAAGTAGTATACTCC